TGGAGGGTCTAATAAAGGCTGATGAGGCGAGTCAGCATGGGTTTGAATCAGGCACAAAATCTCTGGGGGGGCTCTCGGAGACTGATGGAGGACGGCGCCGATTTTCCTCCATGTATCTACTTTTAAAGATCCAGACTCCGGATAGGATGAGCAGTTAGCCCATATGTAAGCAAGCAATTTAACAGCCTCAAGCTGGGCTTGGCTAGCGCCCTGACTCATTTTTCTTCCCTCTCCCACTCTCCCTTGGTGCTCCTTGACTGGCAGATGGGTGAATGACAAGGGCTCCAAGACAGTCATCTCCCACAGCAATAATGCTGGAGTGTTCAGCAGCTTCTACTTGATGGCCCTGACTGCCACTGACAACACCATCCGGCCATCCCCACTGCAGGGCATCCAGCACCTGCAACACCAGTCCATCTTTGGCTTTGTTGTCAAGTGGAACTTCTCTGGTAGAGCCACTCACTATTTGGGATGGAAGCAAATAGAATAGGAGGAGGGAATCTAGTGGCTCTCCCCTTCCTTAGATCTGCTTCTTGCAGGTTCTTTCACTGAATGTTCCCCTCCCCACCACCACCCTTAGCCAGCGCTGCCCAAAAACATTAGTGCCCATAAGATTCCTTGAACCTCTAGGCACTACTAGCCTGAAATAAACCATTGGGAGTTTGATCTATGGAAAATAGTCCCCCCCCCCAAGTGCTAAAACACATCAGCCTGTGAGTCTCTGGCTGATTCCTCCCTCAACCTCCACTGCCGGCTTTGTGGCCCAGTGTTTCCTAGATGAGAACGGAGAGGAGCATCTGAAGACAACCTTGCTGCTGCCTGCGGAGGTGGGATCCACGGCAGAGGATTAGAAGGCAACCAGTTAAGGAAATGCAGGGGCTGAACTGCTGTTCCCCGCAACTGGAAGGGCCCTGTGCACCTCTTTTTCTCTCTCTTCCCTCCCCCCTCCCAAAGTGGCTCTTGAAAAGATGCCCCAATGGTTTGCCTCTCTCAGGGATGTTTCAGCACCCAGGGCTGAGCAGCTCCTGGCCTAGTGTAGTGGGATCTCCTTCTTGCAGCCACATCTTTCCTGGTGGTGGGGGTGTGTGTGCTTCTCCTCTCTCTTTCTTCCAGGGCAGGGAGTTTGGTGCAGCCCTTTTCCGAATCTCTCTGCCAGGGTCCTGCCAGCCTATCCAACTGCTCCCAGGACCTCTGGAGTCTCTGGAAAGCTCCAGGACCAATATGTTTCCCAAGAGGAGATGCCCTCAATAATTAAGTGAAACGAGGTTGTTGCTGGTGTCCATTGTGGCTGCCTGGTCAAGTTGAGGGATTGCCCCTGCCCCTGCTTGTCCAGGCGCCAGGTTCTTGGCCAAGGCAAGCATGTCTTTGCGAAGGGACCAAGACGGAGAGAAAGCCATTCGGTGGTCACGGTTTGAAGGCGTGTCTTCAAAGCAGCAGTGCCCAATACATACCGCATTGTTTGTCTGCTTGCAAAGGATCTTCTGTTGCATCCCCATATAGCTTTATTCTGGGAATTCTAGACAATGACTTACAGTCACATGGAGATGCATCCAGAAGTACATGGTTGCAATATTGGTTTATTCCCCAGGTAAATTGATATTGGATTTTCCCCTCTTCTCTTCCTGAGCGTCACATGTTGGTGAGGATCTCCTAACCGTGTGGCTAGGAACCATGCGGCTGGTGAACAAAGGATCCCATCTGCCTTGTGTCCAGGAAGTCTCTCAATGACCTTTGATACTCCTCCCACTGACCCATCAACATATGTAGCATTTAAACCTATAACTGCCAGACACTCCAACACACTGATACCTGCTCTCTAGTTAGGGCTACATAGACCTATACAGTCCAGAATAATGTTTGTAATGGACTTTTGTTAGAGGCTAAACTTCCAAACACATGGATAGAAGTAAATATTACTTTGATACCAAAAGAAGATTCAGACCTGCCGTATATTAGGAACTACAGACCGATTTCATTACTTAATGTGGATTATAAAATTTTTACTTCAATAATGGCAGAGAGATTGGAAAAATACTTAGTTGAATTCATACATCCAGATCAAAACGGTTTCTTACCAAAGAAATAAATCAAAAAGAATTTAAGGGTGATAATGGACGTATTAGAATACTATGAATTACATCCAGGGAAACAATTAGCATTAGTATTTTTAGACGCTCAAAAGGCATTTGATAATGTTTCTTGGCAATTCATGATTCAGCAACTGCAAACAATGGATTTTGGAAAGAACTTTACAAATATGATAAAAACAATATATAGCAACTAGACAGCAAAAGTGATAGTGAATGGAGATTACACTGAGAGTTTTGAGATAAGAAAAGGCACGAGGCAAGGGTGTCCACTATCTCCATTATTATTTATCTTTACTTTGAAAGTGTTAAATAGAAGGATTAGACAGGACATAGAAATTAAAGGATTGAAAATAAATGATGAAACATATAAGTTACAAGCAATTGCCGATGATCTAGTATTTATCTTGGAAGAACCTTTAGAGACGATTCCTAAGCTATGGGGAAAGATAGACGAGTATGGAGAAATGGCGGGATTAAAAATAAATAAAGAAAAAACTAAAGTAATAGTTAAGAACCTTACAGATAAACAGAAAAGGCAAATGCTAGAGAAAACAGAGGTACAGATAGTGAAAAAAATTATGTATCTACGTATTCATCTTTCGGCTAAATGTTCGTCAATAAAAGAAGACAACTATAGAAAATTATTGAAGCAAAAAAAGGTAGACTAGGAAAGGTGGAAAAATCTGCAGTTGTCAATATTAGGAAGAATTGCTACAGTAAAAATGAACGTATTGCCGGAAGTTTTATTTCTATTTCAAACAATTCCGATAAAACTTGAGAATTTTTTTTTTTCAAAACTTAAATTCATTAATTTTGAACTTCATTTGGCAGGGGAAGAAAGCTAGAATTAAGATGAAAACATTACAAGATGCTAAGGAAAATGGAGGATTTGGGCTGCCGGAATGGATATTGTACTATCAAGCATCTGTTTTAACATGGGTGAAAGAATGGATAATGCTTAGAAATAAAAGGTGGTTGTATTTAGAGGGACATGATCTACAATTGGGGTGGCACGCTTTCTTATGGTATGGGAAAAACAGAGTCCATAAGTTTTTTCAAAATCACTTTATAAGAAATGCCTTGTTAACAGTATGGGAAAAAATTAAAGCTAAAATATATCTAAAAATTCCAGGGTGGTTATCAACAATGGAAGTATTTGTACATCTGAACTTGGTAGATTTTGAAAAAATATGGGCATATAGAAATATTCTAAATACTGATGGGAATTTAAAATCTAAACAAGAACTGGAAAATCAGGGAATCAACTTGTCAAGGTGGGCACATTTACAGATACAAAGTAGATATGAAAAAGATGTAAAAATGTATGGATTTTATAAGGATCAAACTGTGTTTGATAAGATTTTGTTAACCTCAGATGAGAAATTAATTAAGAAAATGTATAATTTTTTGTTAATTTTGGAAATGGAAAGCGAAGAAACAATGATAAGATGGGCAAATTTTTTTGGCTATAATATAGAAAAATGGCAAATGTTATGGGAGAGAAACTACAAACTAACAATGTCAACTTCATATAAAGAAAACTTGTATAAAATGTTTTATAGATGGCACCTGTCACCAGCAAGATTAGCAAAAATGTTTAAAAACATGCCAGATAGATGTTGGAAATGTAAGTATAATATAGGCACGTATTACCACATTTGGTGGACGTGTGGCAAGGCTAAGGCTTATTGGAGAAAGATACATACGTGGTTAGAAAAAATATTGGGTGAACAAGTTGATTTTAAACCTGAACTTTTTTTACTAGGTATAATGTCTGAAAAGATTAATAAGCAGAGTCTTTATTTAATCTTACACATCACCACAGCGGCGAGAATTATTTTCGCACAATACTGGAAGAATGAAGGATTGCCATCAGAAGAAGAAATAATCAGGAAAATACTGGAATGTGCAGAGATGGACAGATTAACTATGAGACTGAAAGATAAAGGAGACACAGACTATTATCAAATTTGGGACTTATTTTCTTGTTGGTTAGAGAAAAGAATGAAGGATTAGGAATTGAATATTATTAAAAAAAAAACTTGGCCCTTTTATGACTCATGGACTCCAACTCCCAGAATTCCTCACCATCAAAGCTTAGTCCACAAGTCTTAAAGTTGCCAAGTTTGAGGATCCCTGCACAACAACATTAAAGTGTGAGGAAACCCCACTTCTTACAGGTATTGATGAAATTACCTAGTTGGGTCATGAACGAAGGAACGAACGAACACACACACACACACACACACACACACCTGCTGAAAAACATATGAGCTGCTTAAAATTCCCTTGTACAATACAACCATCACCGCAAGCAGAAGCGCTTCCCCCCCCCCACAAGTGGCGACAGGGCGGCATCTCAGCTTGGATCTCGTGGCCCAAAAAGCCAAAATATTTTTCTTCGCTGACCCGAACATCTCAAGGATGGTTTGTCTTCCTGCTGACCTAGTAGGAAGGGATGATGAAGAAGGAGGAGGAGGAGGAGGAGGAAGAGGAGGAGGAGGAAGGTCACACAGATAGGCTTATTTAAAACATTGCAATCCGCCTTTGGCTCCTGCCTTGGGTGAAAATGAAACCAACGCCTGGGAGGGGAAAAACAGGCCAAGGGTGTACGAGCCTTCCCAATGGCCGCTCAGCAAAGCCTCCGAGCCCCCCTGGGGGGTTCACATCAAGCGCTGCCTTGTTGCTTGTCTGCGCGTAAAGTAACTTCTGCCGCGTCCCCTCCCCTCGCCCCCCCGTGCGGTTCAGTCGCTTCAGGAGAGCCAGGGTTTGGCTGACAAGTGCTGCTCAGCGCTCGCAGAAGGCCAGCGATTTCGCAGAAGCGTCCGACCCCTCGGGCAGGGATCCTGCCCCTCCCAGCCGCGGGGGGTGGGGGTGGGAGGAGGCGGCAACTTGGGGTGGGGGGAGCCGGTGCCAGCGGAGCTTCATAAGGAGCGTCCCACCTGGGGCTGGCACGTGTAGATTCCTGGAGGCCACCATGGCGATTGGCCTGACAGCTCTGGGGCTCCTCGCTTTCCTGCTCGGCTGCTCCGGAACCTTTGTCGAACCCCAAAACTCGGAGCGAACCGCCAAGGTCAGATGCGGGGTGGCGGGCAGAGGGTCCCAACCTCCCCCGGAGAAACCCCCCGCCACCAGCCTCTGCTCGGGTGGGCGGCAGGAACAGCTGGTGGGAGCCGGCGGGCTGCGCAGAGGCTTCCGCTTCCTCGGGGTTGACCGCACCCGGTGCCGTCGCGCTGAGCGCCAGAGGCCCTGAGTCCCCGACGGACGGACGGCCCAGCGTTTCCTCCTCCGTGCTCGGCCGCGATTTCGGCAGCTTGCAGCCGGGGCTGGTGCTCTCGCTCGCTGCGCAGATGGCAGAGCGATCTGCAGGCGGGTGTCGGCCCGGACGCGGTCTGGCAGGCGCCTCGACCGACGGGCTTTGGGATGCGCCCCCTTTGCCAGCCCCACCCGGCGTGGGCAGCCTTGGGGGTCGGGCACGTGGGAGCAGCGGGTGTTTTCAGATCCCCCGGAGAAAATGGAGTGAGGGTCTCTACCTGTTGGACAGCTGGGCTTGGCTAGCGCCGTGACTCACTTTCCTCCCCCCTCCCGCTCTCCCTTAGTGCTCCCTGACTGGCAGATGGGTGAATGACAGGGGCGCCAAGATAGTCATCAGCCACAACATTAATGGGGTGTTCAGCGGCGTCTACGTGGCGGCCCCAAGTGCCACCAACAAGACCATCCCGCCACTCATGCTGCAGGGCATCCAGCACCTGGATCCTCAACCCACCTTTGGCTTCATTCTGAAGTCGAACATCTCTGGTAGAGCCACTCACTATTTGGGGTGGAAGCAAATAGAAGGGGAGGAGGGAATCTAGTGGCTCTCCCCTTCCTTAGATCTGCTTCTTGCAGGTTCTTTCACTGAATGTTCCCCTCCCCACCCTCACCCTTACCCAGAGCTGCCCAAAAACATTGGAGTCCATAAGATTCCTTGAGCCTCCAGCTAGCACTGGCCTGGAATAAACCATTGGGAGTTTGATCTATGGAACATAATCCCCCATCCCAAATGCTATAACACCATTACCTGCCAGTGAGTCTCTGGCTGATTCCTCCCTCAGCCTCCAGCACAGTCTTTGTGGGCCAGTGTTTCATAGATGAGAACGGAGAGGAGCATCTGAAGACAGCTTGGCTGCTGCGGAGAAACTTGCCATCCCCGGCAGAAACTTGGAAGGCAACTAGGTAAGGAAACACAGGAGTTCAACTGTTGTGCCCCCCAACTGGAAGGGCCCTGCACACCTCTTTTTCTCTCTCTTCCCTCCCCCCTCCCAAAGTGGCTCTGGAAAAGGTGCCCCAATGGTTTGCCTCTCTCGGGGATGTTTTCGCACTCAGGGCTGAGCAGCTCATGCGGGAGAGCCTGCAGACTCCCTTTCTGCCACTTCCACCACAAAGAAATACAGTAAAGCGTTTGAGGAGGTTCCCCAGATCATTCTCACTGACAATTGTGCTTTGGGTGGCAACACAGTGTGGGTTGTCCACAGCTGATTTGGCATTAATTGCTCTACTCAAATTGGGGAGCAGTAGCCCAGCACAGCCCCCATATTTCTATGGGGCAAAGAGGCCACCTGGGTGCCTTCTCCGACCAAGCACAAGGCCTGCAGCTCTTCTGCTCCCCACCAAAGAGGACTCCTTCTTGGTCACCTGGATGGAGCTTCTTCAAGGGAGGCCCCCAAAGACCGAGGAGAATTCGCCCAGCCTGCTTTGGGTCAGTGTCCTTCCCCTCATCAGACGTGGCCTGCAATGCGTGGTTGGGGACCTAGCCGGCCCTGTCCGCCCCTGAGAACCAGCAGCGTCCATTTCCTTTGCCCCCCTTTTCATTCTCACGTGAGTATGTGGGAGGAGGGAATTGGATGCTCAGCTTCGGGAAGGGACACCAATCATGCCACCGTGAATTTTGACATTTCTGTCCTTCCTGTTTCATTATAGTGTTGGCACGGACACCTTCAAGAGGGTGAAGACAGGCAGCCTTCCATTGTTTCTGCGTTTGGGGGGAAATGGGGAGGATGACCCTTCCTACTTTACCCATGAGACCCTCTTCTCCAATAAAATGTTTCTATGAGTAGCATCGGCCTCCCTGGTCTTTCAAAAGCTCCCTGGGTGCCAATCTGCAGGTTTCCAGAAGTGGCTGGGTAGGGCCTCCACCTGGAGGGGGGAGGGGCTCAAAGCTAACTCTGAGGTTCAAGGCCTTTTCTGGTACTTTCCCCCTTATTTTGTCTTGGCTTCTCCCTGGGGGGAAAGTGTCCTCTGCAGGCAGACGGGCTTGATTTGAGGAGCCCTAAGGAAATAGGGGTGTAAGAGAGGTTATTCTCTGGTCTCCTGATTTGGTCACTTCTTGTCTTTAAGTGTCTATGGAGATTCTTAGTCATCCAAGTCATCGTTGTCCCAAAGATGCTTCTTCATGAGGCAACTGGACCTTCTTGTTTTTTCTTTGAAGATGTTTTACTTCTCACCCAAGAAGCTTTTCCACCTCTGAGTGGATGGAGGGGAATGGAAGGATTTATGCTCCTGGCAGACAGCTGGTCATTTGCATTCTTGTTGAGTGTCATTGAGGCCACCTGGAGGTTTATCTGTGTCACCAGGGTCACCTGAGTAATGCAGATGAGTGTGGAGCTTTCTTGGAACTGTTGAAAGGACTGTGTTGTAGACTGAAGATAGATGTCATACCTCTCCCCCTCTGTTGAGAGACATTTTGGACAGAGCACCACTGGTTTGAAAGGGGGGGTCAAAGAGGCCATCTATGTCAAAACTGAACAGCCGTCTCTCAACAGAGGGGAAGCATATGTCTACAAGGCACTTGAAAGTTTTCCAGACAAGATAAATTCACAACACAAGAGAATTCATTAGGTAAGAAAAGTCCAGAGTTCACAAGGCACGATCCAAACTCAAGGCATGGCATCAATCCAAAGCAAGACAGGTATCACAATGACCAGGAAACAGCCAGGTTGGGAACACATTGTTCCCAGCATCGCCTCCACCCATCTGCTGTGCTAAATAGCCAGCTTCTGGTGCAAACCATCAAGAAAGGCGAGGCTTTCTCCTCACAAGTAATCTGGCTGACCTTCTCTGCTCCTGCCTTTTGTTTGCCCTATGTGTTTTTGGATCAGGCCCAGAAGGCATTTTCTCTTCCTCATCACTGTGTACTTTCCCCACCTGAAGCCTCGGGGCTGTCCTGCTGCAGTGCTTCAGCCAATCCTCTCAAACCGTTGCTTGGAGCCATTGACCAACTCCCCTCCAGATATGCCTGGGACTGGTTCATCCTCCTCCTGTTGTTTAAAATATAAATTATCACAGGCTTTTTCTTATTTTCTTCTTGTGATAACACAGGAGCATAAATATCTGACAGTGGTTTGTTAAAAGAACTCTGGTTTTATATACAATATGCAACAAAAATATTCAGGGAGCATACAGAATACAAGATAATCAATTATATTCAAACGGTTGAAGTGAGCAAACAGGTTCCAACTGCTGTTCTTCTCAGACATAGTCCCTTAAAGTAGGGCTCTCCAATCTTGGCAACTTTAAGACTTGTAGACTTCAACTCCCAGAATTCCTCAGCCAGCCAAGCTAGCTGAGGAATTCTGGGAGTTGAGGTCCACAAGTCTTAAAGTTGCCAAGGTTGGGGACCTCTGTCCTAAAGGGATACTACCACCAAATACTCTGCTGATTCATTCTCTACACTGTATATCACTTCTGCTACTAAATCATAACTACCGTGACACCTTAGAGCTGACATCTGGAGAGGTGTCAGGGGAAGCTTGAGGGGGGAGAGGAGGAATCATCACAATTGGTCACCCATGATGCACAGGGAGTCATCCTGGACGAATGGTTGTCCACTCTTATCTATGAAGTTCTCCAGCAATGGAGCATCCACAACTCCAGGAGGCAAGCTGTTCCACTGACTGATCACTCTACCAGGAAATTCATCCCTATTTCCACATTAAATCTCCTTTTGACAAGCAAAACAAAGGCAGCATGACATACAACAGGACAGAGATTGCATTGGTCATGCTTGTCAGTGACCTGTGCTGAATTTCAGATTCACACACGTTCACACGCGTGCGCGCACACACATACACACAAAGTTAATATGAGATACTAGTAAGTTACTCAAGGCTGAATAAATAATAGATGAGGAAAGGAATGCAAGTCAAAACGAAGTCTCTTAGAAAGCAAGCTTGCCTGTTGACTTTTATTTTGAAAAGGAACATAGAGAAGTTAAAGCCTAGTCCAGGGATAGGCAACCTTGGCTCTTTTGTGACTCGTGGACTTCAACTCCCAGAATTCCTGAGCCAGCATGGCTCAGCTTGGAAACCTCTCCCTTTCTCCTCAGCATAGCTGGCTCAGGAATTCTGGGAGTTGAAGTCCACGAGTGATAAAAGAGCCAAGGTTGCCTATCCCTGGCCTAGTCCAAAATTCAGAAAGCCAAGCCAGGTTCACCAGCCTCCCTCAAAGCCAGAATTTCAGGGGGGTTTACATGACCAGACTACACAGGAACAACAATTCAGCCAGCATTTATTTCCAACAAAGAACTATGGTCAGGACTGTTTATTAAAGTAGGCTGCAGACAGCTCTTTAATTAAGAGAGTTTCTTCCTCGCTTGGCGAGGAGCTTGGCTGAGCGTCTTTTCTACACATGGGGCTTGGAGGGCTATGCCTTATCCTCTGATTGCTCCAGCTTTTCTGATGATCCCTGAGTTTGAACAGTGACTCCCTACTTGATATTTGGCTCCCCTAAAGACCAAGTGAAACACAAGGGGTTGGGTTCTGGCCCGATTAAGCTACAAAGGCGGCATGAGTCCTCCTTTTGGAGTGAAGAGCTCAAATTGAGGGTGCTGCATTCTTCCTGCCCCCCCAATCTCCCTGAGGTTTTTCATACCATCAGCCATGCTATCCTACTGGGTTGACCCTGGGGTGGATGTGGGAGGGGGGTACTATGTTCCTCATTCAGCCCTAGGCCCCCTTTATGTGGGGCACCCCAGAGCCTGGGTCACTTTCACACCTACACAAAGCCTGAAGTTACGAAATTAAACCCTGGGCTACGAGCGTCCCTTATCTCTGGAAAGCAAGCAGAAGGTCATCCCGGTCCCTTATCTCTGGAAAGCAAGCAGAAGGTCATCCCGGACATTTGAAGTTCGCAAACAGTGGTGGTGAAAAGCGAAGGTAAAACCGGTAAGACAGAGTCCTGTACCTTCTGCAGGGGAGCAGAAGAGTCCTTGACAGACCCCTTTTTGGTCTGAAACCATAGTGGTAGATCCCTAAAGGAGCATCCAGTACTCTGTGAGGGATCCAGAATCCTTTGTGGGTCCCTTTTTGACCCAAAACCATAGTGGTAGGTGGAAATCTCACTAGGAGGCTTCAGTGCGCTGGACCTGATAGAAAAAAAGCAAACCCCTGCATCACAAATAAGGGAATCATGGGGTGTTCTAGTTCAAGGGTCGATATAGGCTCCCCAGTAAAAGCTTGCTTGAGGCCTGGGACAGGAATCAGCTACCCGTTCAGGCAGGTATGAAAAAAAATAGGTAGAGAAACTATTTTAAAAAAGGACTTTGCTCAGGCTTTTGCTGGGAAACCAATTTGGCTAAGTAAAGGTACTTAAAGGAAAAATAAGAAATAGTGATTCTCTCTCTCTCTCTCTCTCTCTCTCTCTCTTTCTCTGCAACAACGTAGTATGTTTAAGATTTGTTCCTTCCCTAATTTGAGTTAACTGAGATTTGTAGTGGGAATGACTAGGATGTGCAGAACTAAAAGTTCTGTTCCCTTTTCTGTTCTCTTGTCTTTGTGTATATATGACTGTCAAAGTCTTTGTGTGTGAGGCAAATGCGACTGTTAACTGTCTCTAATCCAAAGATAAAAGAATTTTAAAATTCTGCTGGAAATTCTGCTTAAAATAAGCCACCAAAAGGAAAATACCCTCACTCTGTTTGTCTGGCCAACAAACAGAGTGAGGGTATTTTCCTTTTGGTGGCTTATTTTAAGCAGAATTTCCAGCAGAATTTTAAAATTCTTTTACCTTTGGATTAGAGACAGTTAACAGTCGCATTTGCCTCACACACAAAGACTTTGACAGTCATATATACACTCTGGCCAACAAACAGAGTGAAGAAAAATGTTTTTTTTGTTTGTTTTCCCCTTTCTCTCTCTGTACTCTTAAGAACAGCCCAAAGTTAGCAGGAGGGAATGTTTTAAGTTCACCTGCTGGAAAACTTTCACTTTTGCATTTACTTATATGTTGTAAATGGGTTTTATCTGTCTATTCTTTTCCTGAAACATGACCAGCATTTTTCAAATTGCAAATCCTTACGTCCTAACATGTTGCAAATGTTCAGTTCAGAAGTGAGACCTTTCTTACCAGAATCCAGCCTTTCTTTTTTCCTCGTCTGTTTTGTCCCCATCCTGTCTGTTTCTTTAACCACTGCAGTATTAATGCCTTTTCAAACTCTGTCTGCACGCTACCCCCCCCCCAATTCTACTTCTCCTTTTCTTATCCTCTGTTCTCCATGTCTTTGTCTGCCTCTCCTGGGAGAGTCCACCCAGAAAGGGGAGAGGAGATATTGTTCTCATATCTTTCAGCCCTGCACAGATGACTCAACAACCTTTTGGAAGCAGACCATACTTACCCAGATGCTGCCTCCATCCATTTGAGCCATGGAATTGGCTTTTGAATCCAGCCATCCACTAAAAAGCCACCATGCAACCTGAGTGGAACAGATCTTCCCAAGTCCTACCATTCTCCCAGATGCCTGTGAAAACTGCAGAGGAAGGAAAGAGCCCTGGAGCCATTGGTCCCCATATGAAGCCTCAGAAGAAAATTAGGAAGACTGGGGGGGGGGGGGAGGTGGAAACTCATTGTAAGGTTTTCTTTCTTGCCCCATTTGTGTTGTAATTAAGAATGGAATGTATTGATGGAGAGATGGCATTTGGGAATAGTTGGCACAGCAAGTCCTGAAGACCTTGGACCTCTATCTGGTGGGAGGAAAATTTATCTAGAATGTTTGTATTGCCTGTTTTGTATCAGTAGCTGCACACACACACACACACACACAATGGGACATCACTA